CCACTGCCATCGGGGGGGGGGGTGGCCGGGGTGGAGGTGGCGGCGGGGCCACCGATGAGGGAGGTGGCAGAGACAGCAGCCGTGGTGATGGTGGTGAGGCCTGTGACCACCCTGAGCGCAGGGGAGCCCCAAGCACCCCTGGAGAGTGTGCGTCAGATCTACAGCGAACACAACTACTGCCGCCTCGTCCTTTAAATGGAGAGCACACCCAGGCCAGAATTGCCATATCCAGAGCCAGGAGAGAAGACCTGGATTTTCTCAGAAAGGAGGAAAGCTGTCCCCTCCAGGGGGTTCCAGCCATACTCCCAAGTGGGCCAGAAGATGCCTCCCAACTCCCCATTGCTCCCACTGGGGACCAGCCGTGTCAGGCTTTGCTCCCACTGTCCTCCCAAACTTCAGTAGCTGAGAGGGACGTTGAGCAGTCCACATTGCACCCGGATGTTAGAACTGAATGTGAATCTGCTACCACTTCCTGGGAAAGGGAGGGCGAGGAGCCAGGACCGCCTGGTGCCCTGGAAAACGGTCCTGTCCAGTCTCCAGTGGGAGGAGGAGCACTAGAAATAGGAACTGGCTTGGCTCTTGACAGGACTCCAACAAGGAAGGGTCCTGTACGTGTGACCCCCTGCCCCACACCTGAGTCATCACTAGCTGGCTGCGTCCAGGACGGACCATTTGGAGAGGAATTAGGCTTTGGTGGCTTAAGCTCACCCATGAGGGAGAGTGAGACTGAGTCTGCACAGGAGAATTGGATGCCCAAGGCCCTCATTTCCCACCACTCTGCTCCTTGGGTGCCTGTTCCATCAGATGATGAACTGGGGGAACAGCCTGGGCCAGAATCCACAGAAAACGTGCCCCCAATTGGGCCCCAGGTTAGAGAAGAGTGGGAGAAAGCTGCTCCCCTTGTTCCCGTGTTTCCTGGGAGTTTGACAGCCGAGGAAGGCCAAGAACCCCCTGGCAGCCTTCCTCCACACTGGACAGTGCGGGCTCAAGACGTCGACAGCACTGGCAGCCGCTGCCAGCAGGCAGATGTTGACAGGCTAAAAATCAATGGAGACTCTGAAGCACTGAGTCCTCACAGTGAATCCACGGACACAGCCTCTGACTTTGAAGGCCACCTCACCGAGGACAGCAGTGAGGCCGACATCACCGAAGCCACAGTGACCAAGAGATCCTCAGTGGACAAGGATGAGAAACACACTTGGAACCGATCTAGTTCGCTGTCCAAGGTGAATGGCGACCTGAGTCTGTTTACAAGGACAGACAGGATTGTTGCTCCTCAGAGCTGGGTGTCTCGAGTATGTGCAGTACCCCAGAAGAACCCAGACTCCTTGCTGCTGGCCCATTCTGAGTACCAGCCGAGACCCGCCTGCCTGACTAGGCTTGGGTCCTCTGTGGAGGCCACTAACCCACTTGTGATGCAGTTGCCACAAGGGAACTTGCCCATAGAGAAGGTTCTTTCTCCATCCCATGGTGGCAGTGAGCCAGAATCCACGCAGCTCCCACCCACAAGAGAGCAGAGCTGTGGTGGCTCCCTGGGCATGGGATCTCTGCATGATCCTAGGGAGAACAGTCACACTGTTGGCAGAAGCGGCCCCAGTTCAAGGGCTTTGAAGGAGCCCCTTCTGCCTGAGAGCTGTGAAGAAAGCACTGATATTCCCAGGAGAGAGGCCACCCCGGCTCCTGGCACACCTCAAAACATTCCCAAGACAGTCCTGAATTTAGGCTCCCTACCTGCAGTGACAAATCCAATGACTTCTTGTGGGAAACTAGAAGAAATGGGTTCCAAAGAGCAGTTTCCTTCCTTTAGTTTTGAAGACCAGAAGGATGTCCGTGAGCTGTCCCAGTGCAGTAATCCCAGTGCTGCTCCGGGCAGAAGTCCAGGAGATCTCTCTACCTCGAGAGCGCCTTGCTTCTCACCTCCGAATGTGATCTCCTTTGGTCCAGATCAGGCCAGTCGAGTTCTAAGGGATCAGAGCAATACTGGAGGCCAAGGGAAGAAGCTCTTTGGTTGTAGGAACGTAGCTGCGGCCCTCCAGTGCCCCAGGCCTGTGGAGCCAACGCCGTTGCCTGCTGAGGTCCCTCCGGACTTTGCCAGTAGGAAGTTGGGGCCAAGCAAAAACTCTGTGTCTGGTGGGGCACAGACTGGAAGGGAAGACTGGGCTCCAAAGCCACCACCTGCTTCTGCTAGCAGCATGAAGAATGAAAAGACTTTTGTGGGGGGTTCTCTCAAAGCAAATGCAGAGAACAGAAAAACTATGGGGCACAGTCCCCTGGAACTGGTGGGTCACTTGCAAGGGATGCCTTTTGTCATGGACCTGCCCTTTTGGAAATTACCCCAAGAGCCGGGAAAAGGGCTTAGTCAGCCTCTGGAGCCTTCTTCTATCCCCTCCCAACTCAACATTAAGCAGGCATTTTATGGAAAGCTTTCTAAACTCCAACTAAGTTCCACCAGCTTTAATTATTCCTCCAGCTCCCCCAGCTTTCCCAAAGGCCTTGCTGGAAGTGTGGTGCAGCTGAGCCACAAAGCGAACTTCGGTGCGAGCCACAGTGCATCACTCTCCTTGCAGATGTTCACCGACAGCAGCACGGTGGAGAGCATCTCGCTGCAATGTGCATGCAGCCTGAAGGCCATGATCATGTGCCAGGGCTGTGGCGCGTTCTGTCACGATGACTGTATTGGACCCTCAAAGCTCTGTGTATTGTGCCTTGTGGTGAGATAATAAATTATGGCCATGGGAAAAATTGTACATTCAGTGTGTGCGTTTTGATAATGGTTGATCCTGAATCTGTATACAGAATATCATTGCTCTAACAGACTCCGTCTCCTGAGGCAAGCACACTCGCCTCCACATAAAATTCACAGTGCTAAAGCCTCTGTCACTTGCTGACCCTTCTGGTCTTGCCGAAGGGGGTTCCTGGGGTGCATCCTGTTGGGCTGCTCAAGACCCGTCAGCCTGAGCACTCTCGCAGGTACTCAGAGCCTGGTGTGGCGTGGGGAGCCTGCCTGAAACCAATGGGACTTGAAACTGAGGCAAGAAGGTTGCGTTCTCCACCAGGGGCACCAGCTACCTGGACTGAGTAGCAGTGTCAGTCTTCCACTGCCCCTCCTTGCCATCTTTTCTTCTGCTACTGTGTGGGGAGCTGATCATGGAGGAGGAAGCCAGCACAGGGTCGAGTAACTTCCAGCATTGTCCACCAGGGGGCTGGAGCCCCTGCTGACCTCAGGGTCACGGTTGAGTCTTTTGCCAGTTTGACCTTCGGTTCTGGTGCTGAAGCAAATTTGGTACTTTCCTGTCTCAGTATGATCCACTGGCTTACAGGATCTTTCGGAAACTTTAATAGCCCTGCTTGGACAAGGGGGTCAGGGAATTAGGTGACTTTCCTCTGGAAATGCCACGGGCAGACCCTGTGAGTCACCTGAACCAACGTTGATGTTTGCAGGTGAATTCCTCTGCTTGACACTCTCCCGTCACTTTGGACGCTCTGGGAGTGGGTATCTCCACGCACTTGTGTATGTGAAAGTCATTTTACATTTCAAAGCAGTGTGTGTGTCTTATTTTTATATTTTTAACTCTTTATTCTTGGATGTATAAAGTGAACTTTTTTGCTTCTGTAAGTATGCGCTATGCACCTCTAATGTTTTATCATGTATTTATATGTTGTACACAGTACTGGCCGATTCTGTAAATGGATGTGTTGTACAGAGAACACGAGCGTCTCTTCCTTATGTTCCTTCCTCGGCATCATTGCATTAAAGTGAGGTAATTCACTTCTCTGTACCTGTTGTCAGAACCACTGAGTGCTGCCCGACGGGAGGGTGAAGTGATTGACTCATGATCTGCCAGGGTAGCCCAGCACCCTGTCACGGGTCGCTGGGCAGAACTGCCACAGCCTGCAGAGCCACGGTCAGCCCACCCGCACGCCCCCGAGCAGAGGCGTCTTGCCCTCACCTCTCTCCTCCAGCCTTACACGGCTGCTTGGCGCCATGTGACAAATTGCCACCACCAATGTGAAGTGCTTCTGGATTTGTGGGTGAGTCCCCTGGGCAGCCCCCAGGCAAACCTTCCAGATCTGGCTCCAGGGTCACCACCTGTCACAGCAATACCTGGGACCATGCTCGCCTGGGGCCACGAGGCTCCTCTTGACGTACTTTTGACAGCAGATGTGGGAAGAAACAAAGCCATGCCTGCCCCTCTCTCTACATGTTTCCACCAAGTTGAGGTCTGTTTTGTTGTCCCTCACCGTGTGTCCTGCCTTATTTCTTGTATCTCGACTTACTAGAGAGTCGAGAGTCCTCTCTGTTTAATTTAGGCCTCCCCATGTGAGTGCTTCTTTATGAAGTATAAAATGTGTATGACTTCAAGTCTCATTTCATCTGAAAGGTTCCTCCCTCTCCACCAACTTAATCCGATGCAGCTTTTTAGTCGCTCGAGCATGAGTGGGAAGTTGGTGACGATGCGATTTAAATGCAGTATTGGCCAAGTCCAAGTTGTCAACTCAAGAGTCTGTTTACCAAAGACCGGGAGCAGGGGTCCAAGCATGTCCGATCCTCCTCTTCCTTCTGCTGGGACCTCTGGGGCCACTCGAGGGTACAGTTTGACACTGGTCTGGTCCATGGGGCTGCCCAGAGAAAAGCACTGCTCTTGTATGTCTCATGTGGTATTGGAAAAATAAACCTGTACAACCTGCCTCTGTGGTCTCCGTCATCTTCTGTGGCTGCCCGCTGACGTGGGAAGGTCAGGACGGAGCATGGAGCTGGGCTGAAAGGAGTTCGTGCCCGCTCGACTCAGGAGCTGAGGTTCTTATACGTGGAACTCCTCGGTTAGCCCAAAAGGAATGACTTGTCAACCTCGCTGGTCTTCAGACTCTGTTCATGAATTGGTGAACTTTTCTGTTGCTGGGACTGGAATCAGAAATCCAGTGAAAGTGGTGAGTGTTTGTGGTGGGTGAAAGCTGTGAACTGGCATTCTTCAGCTGCTTATCCAAACTGCCGCACTGAATTTGAGATTGTCACATGGATTTCTTTTCTTTTTTTTTTGGGGGGGGGGAGGGGGTTTTCTTTTTCTTTTTTTTTTCTATAGGGGGGATGCCGCTACCCGGAAGA